GGACAACTGCTGGTGGGCCAAATCAAATGGCTCGGGGGGCCAATTTTGGCCCGCGGGCCCCACTTTGGCCACCTCTGCTCTAAACCTAACTAGTAAAGCACAGCAAAGCTGCAAACAAAGTGAGGACATTGAAGAGGTCCTCACTTTACGTCAAATGCCTCACTCTGATAGTAACTATGGTGCAAATGGTCCTCACTCTGTAGTGAAAACACACACACACACACACATGCACACAGCACCCAGGAAAAGAGTCAAACCTCACAAGAATTTAAAACATGATAAATGAATTCTTTCACAGATTCGACATGCTCAGACTTACAGACTGGGAACTGATGTGTGAATCCAGCTCTTTAGCGGCAACTTAATTATTTAATAAATCAAAATATCCGTGACTCACTTTGCTCCTTTTAGAGAACTGGAGCAGACATCTCTTCACTGCTGTGAAATTCAGTGAAACTTGTGATTTCATTCCTGGTAAGAGGTGTGTGCCATTAACTAAGGCTCATGCAGGTGCACTATAAATCATTTAAGTGCGTCTCTGTGCCAAGACGTTTGCTAAAATATGGCCTGGATTCGTCCTCCGGCTTGTYGAGACAGCTGCGATTCAGTCTAAGCAGCTGACTGGGATTAGGTGTGTTTGTGTGGAAGTATGTGTTACTGACATCATCGCGTAAAGCCAAAACACAGGAGAAGAAAGTCAAGGTATTCAGAAGTCTTTGTGCGGTCAGCATCACTCCCTGTTTCTTTATTTCTGTGCCTCGTGATGTCACTTCCCCAGCAGCCGTCTTTGTGTCTAAGTCAAAGCGATGTTTCATCTCCCAGCCTGAAGGCTTTATTACGCAAATGTTCTTTTCTGACTCTGCTGTGAGGGTAAAAAAAAAAGGCCTGGCATAAGGTCAGCAATGAGGAAAGAAGATACAGACAAAAGAAGCAGCCGAATATTATCTTTCTGTCTTTCATGCACGGTTATTTTAGGCCATTTTAGGKTTTTTTTGTAAAAAACAAAAACCAAAAACTGCTGCTTCTATGCAGCTTTTAGCCACGTGGCTCCATGAGTTAATCTTCCTGGTTGGGTGAGGTAATGAATAACAAGCTGACTAAGGTGTGCTGACAGTCATGGGTGGAAAGGTTAGAGTTCATTGGAACAGCTGCACCGTGAAGTCACTAATTCGAGTTATCTGTCATGATAAACATCACTTCTGGAACTCTTGTTTTCCACTTGTTTCAACCAATAAACCAAGAAAACTCAGTTTGTGACAGAACGGCTGCTGCAGCTTAAACCACCCACTCTGCTTTATACACCTTATTTTTATTAAAGTGACTAATGCCTATCATTCTATGTAGGAACGCTTATCACCCACTATTTTTATTTTTATTACCCATTATTTCAATGCCAGAATTAACTCCCAGCTATTAACACACTTAATTGTATATCTGTAAAAATGATGGAGTTATTGTCATGTTTGTGTTAGCTAATGTTAATAAGTTGTAGCCTCCATCTTGAATTGGGCTGACTCCAAAAAGTAATCAGTCATTTATGTTCATTTGATGTTTACTTTATGAAAGTTTCATTAAAATCAATGTAATTGTTCATGAGATATTGTGCTAACAATCAGCATTGACTCTAAGAGTTAATGCTAAACTTTAAAGCAAAGATCTTGCAAAATGAGTAGCATTTGTGTTGTAAATGTCTTTAAGCTACTATCACCCCAATATCAGCACAATTTGAGTAAAATGGACATAGTTATTGTGATTTTTATGTTTTCTAACATCAGCTGGTGGCAGCCATCTTGAATGGGGACAGCTCCAAGATACAATAATTGTTTACTGAATGTTTCATTATAACTCAGAATTTGTGTTGGGGATCATCCGTAAAAAAAATCTATCAATATATCAAAG